GTCCTAACAGGGACTTTGTCCAGGTGTTTCAAACTTTTGTTTTTCATAGATCTCTTCTTGTTTTTTTTTTTTTTTTTCCCAGAGATTTCATTCTATTCTCATATGGTTAGATACCTTCAGATTGCTGTTTTTTGAAATCTGCTTTAGAAGGAAACTATTATGGAGTCTTGTATTTGTAGAACTATCTAATGTATCTTTCATGAAACCTTTCTCCATCATTTCAGATCAAATTCATTCGCTTTCCCTCTGTCAGTCTCAGGGCAACTGGTTTTTCCTGCTTTCTTGGAATTTCTGTCAGATTATGTACAACAGTTATCAATGAGCAGACGTGTTGGTTTTTCCACTCCCCAACCAACTTCTAGGTTGTATCTTTTTTAAGAAAGTCAGTGTCTTTCTCATATTCTCCAATTTATTACTTGTTATGTATTGAGTCCCAACCTCCCACATTAATATATAGAAACCCTAACCCCCCAGTGTGACTGTATTTGGAGATAGGGCCTTTAAGGAGATAATTAGGTTTAAGTAAAGTGTTAAGGGTGGGCCCCTAATCAGGACTGGTGTTCTTATCAGAGGAGGAAGAGATACAAGATCTCAGTCTCTCTTTCTCTCTCTCTCTCAGAGAGAGAGGAGGTCATGGGAGGGCACATCTAGATGATAGACACATGCAAGCCTGGGGGAGAAGGCTTGCCAGAAACCAACTTTTTTGGGACCTTGTTCTTGGACTTGTAGCATCCAGAACAATTTCTATTGTTTAAGTCCCCCAGTCTGTAGTATTTTGTTATGGCAGCTCTAGCAGACTATACATTACCTAAGACACAGTATTTAGCATATAATTTCTAGTCAATAGATACTTATTTCTTATTGACAGTAATTAATTATTTTGTGGGAAGAACTTAGTTCTATAATTATCTTACATTCTTGTATTAGAGAAGTCATTTCTAAGAGAGTTTATTTAAATGCCTCTTCCCAGTGTCTTAATACACACACACATCCACACATGTACTTGTCATTAGCCATTTTGAGTGCACAGAATGGCCACTAAGTTTGCTTTTGTACCAGATAAATTGTCTAATTTCAAACTGTTGATAGACAGGAGATACTAAAGAACACAGTATGTTTCCTTAGAATCCTCCTCCTTGCAAGATACTTGTCATCCTAGTTTATTATTTCCCGCAAAGCCCATTTTTTGATACCTGAATCCATAACTTTTTGCTCATTTTTGTCATTAGCACCTATCCAGATAGGCTGCTGTGGAGGAAGGGGCATTTAAACATTCATTCACTTATTTACTCACTCAATCATTTAAAGCAGTTTTAGAGATTTCCTATTGCCAAGCACTATTCTGGGAACTATAATAAATATAGGGGTAAAAAGAGGATGTCCCTACTTTTATGTTTATAGTCTCATGCTGGAAGATTCAGGCTATATACATGTGAACAAGCAAATAAATAAGATGATTTTATTTTTTATACTTTTTTATTTTGGTGAAATAAACATAAAATTTACCATTTTAATCATTTAAAGCATACAATTCATGCCATTAAATACTATCATAATATGTTTTAATCCCTTTTTAAAACAATTTTTTTTATTTGAGTATAATTGACACACAATGTTACATTGGTTTTAGGTGTACAACATAATGATGCAACTTCTCTATACATTATGCTATGTTTACCACCAGTGTAATTGCTGTCAGTCACCATGTAATGCTATGACAGTATCACTAACTGTAATTCTTGTCCTGTGCCTTTTATTCCCATGACTTATCCATTCCATAACTGGCAGCCTGTGTCTCCCACTCCTTTTCATGCATTTTGCTCATCCTCCACCCCCCTTCCCTCTGGCAAGCATGTTCTATTTATAGATCTGATTCCACTCTTTGTTTATTCATTTGTTTTGTTTTTTAGATTGCACATATGAATGAAATCATATATTTGTCTTTCTCTAACTTACTTCACTTAACATAATACCCTCTAGGTCCATGTTATCACAAATGGCAAGATCTCATCCTTTTTATGGCCTTGTAATATTTCATTGTATTCTGAATGTATGTATACACACACACTTATACATACCTACATACGCACATGCACACATCTTCCTTTTAAAAAGAAGTATGGAGATATCTGAGCATTTTTAATTCAAGGTTTGTGGGGATGTATATCATGTATATTCTAATACATGATGGTTGAAAGACAAAGCTATCTGAATTTCCTAATTAACCACAATTAGTTATATACTAAGAAATGCAGATAACATGACCTAAAGTTAAAAATTGCAAGTACTTTTCACTGGTTTCATGAAAAAAGATGCTAAAAATTCTTGGTAGAATGCATGGGGATAATAGGTTAAGGGCTTAATCTAAGATTGTAAATTTAGTAGTCAAGTTTGAGGTCCAACACTATGTTCATTGCCACCATATTGCTTTACCTTTTAAGCTTCAGCCGGCTGATCTATTGTTCAGGGAATATGATGCACATTATTCTGTCCTGTTTCTATTATTCAAGAACCACACAAAAAGAGTGAAATAATTCAACAGTTATAAAAGGTTTGAGAAATATGCAATCTCTAACATTTGATAATTTCCCTTATTTTCCCAAACATACACTCAAACACCACAGAAACAACCAAGTTTGCTTCTAATCAAATTATCTGGGCAGCTGTCTCATCTCCCTACTTCCTATGCCTGAATAGAAAAGATGACTCAATGAGAGCATTGCATGTAGACATGTCTGGGAAAACCCCATAGAGGGAGCAAGTACACCTGTTACGGAAACATCTGTGGCCATTCCTGAGGAGAGGAATAAGCAGGATTAACACTATGTGTCAGTGACAGATGTTGCTCTACATCTCTAACTACAGAGGTCATGCTCATTTGTCCAGTATAGGACTATTGCATACCCTGGATTACTCACTCTTTATTCCCTGATCCTTTTGGGGTACTAGGCTATGGCATACTTGTGGGAAAGAATACTATATGCCCCAGTGATTGGAGCTTTAAGCTATAAATACATATATTTAGCAAATAAATATCTGGAGTAACCAACTTTACTGACCATGTGTCCTCTGTTAACCCCTTTGAGTCTCATGCTGTTTTTATAAAATGGTCCTCATTGCTCTAATAGTCTGCTTGGGCTGCCATAACAAAAAAATCATGGACTGGGTGGCTTAACAACAGAAATTTATTTTTATACAGTTCTGGAGGCTGGAAGTCTGAAATCACTATGCCATCATGGTCAGTTTCTGGTGAGAGCTCTCTTCCTGGCTTGCACATGGCTACCTTCTTGCTGTGTCCTAAAATGGTAGAGACAAAGAGTTCTCTTTTTCTGTTCTTATAAAGCCACCAATCCTATCAGATAAAGGCCCCACCTTTTGATCTTATTTAACCTTAATAGTCTCCTAAAGCCTTACCTTTACATATAGTCACATTGGGGGTTGGGGCTGCAACGAATGAATTTGGTAGTGGGTGGCGGGTGTAGGGGGGACACAGTGTTGGTGAGGATGTGGAGAAAAGGGAACTCTCATGTACTGTTGAAGGCAGTGCAAACTGGTGCAGCCACTACGAAAAACATATGGGGAAATAAAAACAAAAAAAAACCTTAAAAAATAAAAATAGAAAATGTACAGAAGTTCCTAAAAAAAAGTTTAAAGTAGAACTATATGATCCAGCAATTCCAGTTCTGGGCATTTACCTGAAGAAAGCTAAAAGCAAAACTGGGCATTTACCTGAAGAAAGTTAAAAAAAGATATATGCACCCCCATGTTTACTGCAGCATTATTTATAATAGCCAAGATATGGATAACTACCTCTTAATGTATCTTTGGAGTTTGAATGACTGAATAAAGTGCTTAGCGCAGGGACTTAGACATAGTAAGATGTTATGTATATTTCTCTTTCTTCCTCTTTCTTATTCTAATCAAGTTAAGCTACAATTTAGTTACTTATGAATTCCAACATGTGGGTTCAGTTCCAATTTGCAGATCCAGGAAATCGAGAAGTATGGAGCCATTGTATGAACAGTGTCATGAAATATAAGAAAGTGAGAAGTCCAGCTTCAGTAATCTTTAAATTCTCCTTAAGCTGAAGGTGAGCTTAAGTGACACAGTTATGCAAAAAGTGAATTAACCTTGCTTGCAATAGTAGGCAGTCTTTAAGAAATTAATGAATAGATTTCTTGAAGTGAAGCACAGTACCTTATTGCCTGTTATATTTCCAGTCCCTCTCATAGTCCTGGCATATAGGACATTTTAAATGAATTCTCTGCTGTTGCCTGAGTAAAATTTAATCAGGAGTAGGCAGTGTTGAATTGATGATTTGATTTTCTAAGCAGTATTAATTGCCTGCACATATACACGATAAAAACAACAACAGAAATACCTGCCAAGAAATTGGTGCCTTAAAGCACCTTGTAAATATTGATGAGCATGTTTCCTATTTGTTTCTAGTGTTGGTCAAAAAACTAAACTCAGTAACTTCATTTCACCCTATGGAAGGGCCTGCAGTTCTTTTATATTCAGAACCACCGGAGTGAGGCATGTTAAATAATTCAAAAGAGAAATTTCTAGTTTCCACCTTTATATATCTCCTGGGTTTTGCTTTGTTCACCCAGTCATCTGCAAAAACCATCAAATGCTCAAATTCATAGTCTGTGATTTGGTGACCCTGAACCTCTTGGTGGCCTGGAATGAACATGAAATACTCTTATTTAGCACGTGACATATAGAGCCCAGTCAGACATTAGTTTTCCTGCCATGAAATCCTCTGATGCCAATGAAGAGGGAAATCAGAAACAGAAAACAGACAATTCTGGCCCACTGCCTTCCAATACAATGGGTGAGTCACGGACAGAAATGGAGCTGGATGCTGGATCTCTCTCTCCTAAATCCTTTTATCCCAGTTATTTTAAGTTTGTTACTTCTTGGAGCCATGAAATTGAAGAATAGTTTGCTGAGGTGATGAAGATTTTGGATTCTAAAATGTCCCCCTGCATCTCCTGTCAGGAAGTGTGAGCCTTGATTGGGGTGAGAGTCAATTTTCTGATGCTATACACTCTTGTATAACTCATGTTCCACCCAAGAGAATGAATTTTCTGTACAAGAAGCTGTGCCAATCCATTGAAAATCCTTGGGTTGCATGTTTCCTTGTTTATAACTTTTCCATATAGTTGGTTCTGCTCCAACTCATTGGAAAGGGACATCTGTTGGATGATTTGATGCAATATCTATGTTTGCTAAAAGTCTACTCTGACAGGTCAGTGTAAAAGAACCCGAGATGGGGTGGGGGGAACTCAGTCACATGCTGAGGGGCTTGTAAGTACAGGAATAGATTTGAGATGATTATCCAAGACAGTGACTACAAGATTAAACTAGGCCACGGAGTTAGCCACAGGGCTTTGCACATTCTTTGTGGTTCAGTCGTCTAGGGTGTCCTGTCACTGTGCTTGCCAGTAATGAATTTCACTTCCATGTGGGAGCTTTCACGTCTTCTTGACACACTCTGAAGCCGTACATGTCTCAGTCACATCAGACATCATTCTGCTCTTCAACTTGAAGAACAGTGTAAGCAAGTCAGTGAGGTTTGCCATGGCATCAGACCTCCTTCTAAAACCCACATCTCTTGAATAGTAACTGTGATTCTGAATAGTTGACTCATGAATATTTCCTGCTAAGGAACAATGGGAATCTGAGGAAATGAAATCCACACAAGTAATTACCAAGCTTTATTTCATTCCGTGTTTGAATACTCTTTAACTTCAGATGTTTTTACCAGACTGGTAACACATAGAAAAATCAGTTGACATGACTATCCTTTTCTTTCTTCCTTCACTTCTCTAGTGTGGTGCTAACTGTAGGGAAGGAAGTGGCAAGAGAAAACAAAAATCAACCATCCCAATCCATTTCTCTCTCTCCTGGCAATCCTGTTTTGAAGGCAGTCACTGCTGCTCAGAAAGGTCCAGCCAAAATCAATCAGAGATGGGGTTGGAAACCTCTGTAGCACTATGATACATGATAAGCTTATGTAAATAGTCAAGTTACAGATTGTTGGCACTGAGTCTCTTCTTTAAAATGGTCTTACGCTCTTGGCATAACTGTAAGAGTGAGTCCCCAGGAAAGCCTGCCTTGAAGTACCACATTGCTGAAGAGTATGATAGTACTCAGTATTATGGAACAGTGTAAAAATCCAGGCACCTTCTCAAGTCTAGAGGGAGTCAGAAGTATGCTTCTTTATAGGAGGAGTGACACTAGAACCCTCCTGAGCTCTCTGAGGTCCCTAAGTGTACCACCCCCTCACCCCTGCAACTACCCAAGTGATGTCCTGTAAATGATTAGATTGTGGTCTATAGAAGAGTTTCTGCATATGGAAAAAAAAATCGATTTTGGAGTAAGAGTTGTCACCAGAAAGATTTCCATTTATCAAGCACCTATTAGGAAGCAGACTCTTTGTGAGGGACATTACAGATACTCTTTTATGTACTTCTCACCAGGATACATTTAGGTCTTGTTCCCCATTTTACAGGTGAGGAAAATGAAGCATCAGGAGATTAAGTAGCTAGTCTCAGGCAACCCATTTATCAAGTGGCAGAACCTGGAGTTGAGTTCAGGTCAGAATGAAGCTCCTTAAGGTCAGAATTTTTTCTCTCTTTGCTCCTGAAGTATTCCTAAGTACCTGGAAGAGTGCCTGGCCGATTGTAGGTGCTCAGCATATGTCATCAGGTGATTGCGTTAATGAAGATTCTAGCACATGTACTCGTAACCATTACTTTACACTGTCTTGTCTCTGTCTCTTCACTCTAGTCCTTTGTCTGTCTCTGTCTCCCACACTTTTCCATAGGGAAGTGGAACCCACCCTGCTTCAGCCTGCTGTGCAGAGTTACATCCCCATATGAATACATCCTGCTGAAGGAATGCAGCAGTTGTCAGGAAGTTGTCTCCCTGGGTCTGATTCCCTCCCTCTTTCCATCTCATCCTCCTTCCCACAAAGATACTCTGAGGCCCTGCTAGGTGGACTGAGCATTGGAGATTTACTATGAACAAAGCTGACATGGTTCCTATCCTCAGGCAGTTTACTGGTTAAATTATGTGTACGACCAGTGTTTTGGCAGAAAAGTAGAGGGTGTTATAGGAGTATACAAAAAGGGGACCCAACCTATTCTTTGGGGTCACTGAAGACTTGCACATTTGAACTTTAAGATGAGACCTAAGGAATGCTGGCTAGGGTCTGAAAAAAAAGGGAACCGTCATGCACTGTTGTGGGAATGCAAACTGGTGCAGCTGCTATGGAAAACAGTATGGAGGTTCCTCAAGAAATTAGAAGTAGGACTGCCATGTGATCCAGCAATCCCACTTCTGGGTATATATCCAAAGGGAACAAAATCATTATCTGTAAGAGATGTCTGTTTTTCCATGTCCATTGCAGCATTATTCACAATAGCCAAGGTATGGAAACAATCTAATTATCTCTCAATGTACAGATAGATAAATGTGACATATACCTGTGAGAGATCGAATGATTGATCCATCACTAGATATGTATATACACATACACACACACACATAGAAGTACTGTTTGCCCTTAAGAAGGAAATTCTGCCGTTTACAGCAACACAGATGAATCTGGAAGGCTTTATATGCTCAGTGAATAAACCGGAAAGAGAAAGATGAATACTTCATGATAATCACTTATATGTGGAATATATATATATATAAAGGAAGAAAGTTGAACTCAGAAACCAGAATAGAATGGTGGTTGCCAGAGGCTGAGACTAGGGGAAATGGGCAGAGGTTGATAAAAGGGTATAAACTTTCAGTTATAAGATGAATAAAGTCTGAGGATCTAATGTATATAACATGGTGACTATAGTTGATAAGACTGTATCGTAGAATTGAAATTTGGTAAGAAAGTAGCACTTAAATGTTCTCACCAGAAAAAAAGGTACATCTGTGAGGTGATGGATGTGTTTAACTTGATTATGGGAATCCTTTCATAATGTGTATGTATACCAAGTCATCATGTTGTACACTTTAAATATATTACAATTTTATTTGTCAGTTATAGCTCAGTAAAGCTGGGGCAGGAGAGGAAGAGTAGGAGTTCTTAAAGTACAGCCTGGGGTCACTGGACGTCCCTGCCTAAGACACTGTTAGTGGGTGTGGGAGTCAAATGTATTCTTGTGATAATAATTAGAAGTAATTAGCTGTTTTCATTCCCACTCTTATACAAGTGTGCAGTGGAATTTTCCAGAGGCTACATGATGTATGATGTTACAACATATTGGATGTAGAATTAGATACGAGAATCCATCTGTTTTCTATTAAGCCAGACATTAAAGAGATTTGCAAAAATGTAAAACAGTGCCATTCTTTTTCCTGATATATTTTTGGTTTGGGAGAATATAGTTATTTTTCATAAAATATTTATGTTAAAGTGTAATCAGTTTACTATGTTATTTTTAGATGAATTCAATATTTAAAAATTTCCTGGTTTTAATTTGTAACATGTAAATATCCAGAGATAGAATCCACATTTTTAAAAAATGCTCTTTGGAATCCTTAATAACTTTTAAGAGTATAGAGGAGTCCTGAGTCCAGAAAGTTTGAAAATTGTTGAGCTAAGAGGAGGATGGAATGTTTCATGTTGAAGAAGAAGCATGTGGAAAAGCCCTGATTTAAGCCACAACTTACAGTTTTGAGGAAATTGAAGAAGTCCAGTGTGGTTGGAGCATAGATAGTGAGGAGAGGCTGTAAAATAAAGGTTGGTGGATAAGCAATGCCAGATTTGGGAGCAAGAACATCTCAGCTCAGTGGGAGGTCACTGATGGGTTTTAAGCAGGCTGGAGTTGTTCAGATGTATGTTGAAGGAAAGAAGGAAGGAAAGAAAGAAAAAGAAGGAAGGAAGGCGGGAAGGAAGGAGGGAGGGAGAAGGGGTGGAAAGGAAGGCCAGTGAAGAGACTTTTGGGGAAACCTTGGTAAGTCCTGAGTTGGGGGCAGTAGGATTGGATAGAAGAAGATGGATTTATTTTTATTATGTTATGTTAATCACCATACATTACATCATTAGTTTTTGATGTAGTGTTCCATAATTCATTGTTTGCGTATAACACCCAGTGCTCCACGCAGAATGTGCCCTCTTTAATACCC